TCGGTGATACTGATATGAAGGAATCAGGGTACGGTATTTTTCCTACCATCCTTTCAGTATTTCAATCCCCTGATTGGTTAATTGACACCGGTGCTAATGTACATGTTTGTGCTGATGCCTCCATGTTTTCTTCTTACCAGGCCACTGGGACTTCTCCCGTGATGATGGGGAACGGGTCACATGCCATCGTTCGAGGTGTTGGTACGGTCGATCTGAAGTTTACTTCCGGGAAGACCGTGCGTCTAAAGAACGTTCATCATGTGTCGTCCATCAATAAAAATCTCGTCAGCGGTTCCCGTTTATGTCGAGATGGTTTTAAGTTGGTTTTCGAATCCAATAAAGTTGTAATTTCTAAGTGTGGACAATTTGTTGGAAAATGCTATGAGTGCGGAGGCTTGTTCCGCCTATCTTTGTCAGATATTTGCACTAAAGTTATTAATAATGTTTGCCACAATAATGAGTTTGATATTTGGCATTCACGACTTTGTCATATTAACTTTGGATGCATGACGCGGCTAGCCAATATGAATTTAATTCCGAAAATCTCTCCTGTCAAGGGCTCTAAGTGCCAAGTATGTGTGCAAGCTAAGCAACCTCGCAAGTCCCATAAGACTGTAGAGGCAAGAGACTTGGCGCCACTAGAGCTTATACATTCTGATCTTTGTGAGATGAATGATGTGTTGACAAAAGGTGGAAAGAGATACTTCATGATGTTGATTGATGACTCCACGAGATATTGTTATGTGTATCTTCTGAAATCAAAAGATGAGGCTTTGACTTTCTTCAAAAACTATAAAGCTGAGGCAGAGAACCAACTTGATCGAAAAATTAAACGGCTTAGGTCCGATCGTGGTGGAGAGTATTTTTCCAATGAATTTGATCTGTTTTGTGCGGAACATGGTATAATCCATGAGAGGACGCCTCCCTACTCACCCCAGTCAAATGGGGTAGCCGAAAGAAAGAACCGAACTCTAACTGATATGGTTAACACCATGTTAGACACTTCGGGTCTATCCAAGGAATGGTGGGGGGAGGCGCTAATGACTGCGTGTCATGTCCTAAACCGGGTTCCCACAAAGCATAAGACCATGACTCCATTTGAGGAATGGGAAAGGAAAATGTTGAAACTCTCTTACCTACGTACTTGGGATTGTTTGGCGAAAGTCAATATACCAATTCCCAAGAAGCGCAAGCTTGGACCAAAAACCGTGGATTGTGTTCTTCTGGGCTATGCTTTTCATAGCATCGGCTATAGATTTTTGATAATAAAATCTGAGGTGTCCGACATGCATGTTGGTACGATTATGGAGTCAAATGATGCAACTTTCTTTGAGGACATATTTCCTATGAAGGATATGTCGAGTTCATCAAATCAGGAGATACCTACTCCATCTAGTGAGGAATTCACTGTAATTCCTGAACCCACCATTGCGTTGGAACACGTTGAGAATCCTGTTGAGGGTGACAATGGAACTCCTGTGAGGAGTAAGAGACAGAGGACTGCAAAGTCCTTTGGTGATGATTTCATTGTGTACCTCGTGGATGACACACCCAAGACTATTTCAGAAGCCTATGCATCTCCTGATGCTGACTACTGGAAGGAAGCTGTACGTAGCGAGATGGATTCCATCTTAGCTAACGGTACCTGGAAGATCACTGACCGTCCTTATGGGTGCAAACCTGTAGGATGTAAGTGGGTGTTCAAGAAGAAGCTTAGACCTGATGGTACGATTGAAAAGTACAAGGCACGGCTTGTGGCCAAGGGTTATACCCAGAAAGAAGGTGAAGACTTCTTTGATACTTACTCACCCGTGGCTAGACTGACCATAATTCGGGTGCTACTATCACTGGCTTCCTCACATGGTCTTCTCGTTCATCAAATGGACGTTAAGACGGCTTTCCTCAATGGAGAGTTGAAGGAGGAAATTTACATGGATCAGCCAGATGGTTTTGTAGTACCTGGTCAGGAAGGAAAGGTGGGCAGGTTATTAAAGTCTTTATATGGCCTTAAACAAGCTCCTAAGGAGTGGCATGAGAAGTTCGAAAGAACATTAACTGCTGCCGGCTTTGTAGTAAACGATGATGACAAGTGCGTGTACTATCGCTATGGTGGGGGCGAAGGAGTTATTCTTTGTCTGTATGTCGACGACATATTGATCTTTGGAACCAAACTTGATTTAATCAAGGAGGTTAAGGATTTCTTATCTTGCTGTTTTGAGATGAAGGATCTAGGAGTAGCTGATGTTATCTTAAACATCAAGCTGTTGAGAGATGAGAATGGTGGGATCACACTGCTTCAGTCTCATTATGTGGAAAAGGTCTTGAGTCGTTTTGGGTATAGCGACTGCACGCCTTCTCCATCTCCATATGATGCTAGTGTGTTGCTTCGAAAGAATCGACGGATTGCTAGAGATCAACTGAGGTATTCTCAGATTATTGGCTCGCTTATGTATTTGGCAAGTGCCACGAGGCCTGACATCTCTTTTGCTGTGAGCAAGCTGAGTCGGTTTGTGTCAAAACCGGGAGATGATTATTGGCATGCGCTTGAGAGAGTTATGCGCTATTTGAAAGGTACCGCGAGCTATGGGATTCACTACACCGGGTATCCAAGGGTACTGGAGGGTTATAGTGACTCAAACTGGATATCTGATGCTGATGAGATTAAGGCCACAAGTGGTTATGTTTTTACACTTGGTGGTGGCGCTGTTTCCTGGAAGTCTTGCAAGCAGACCATCTTAACGAGGTCAACTATGGAAGCAGAACTCACAGCATTAGACACTGCACTGTTGAAGCAGAGTGGCTTCGTGAACTCTTGATGGACTTACCTATGGTTGAAAAACCAATACCCCTTATCCTGATGAACTGTGATAATCAAACTGTGATCATCAAGATAAACAGTTCTAAGGACAATATGAAGTCCTCAAGGCATGTGGAGAGGAGACTAAAATCTGTCAGAAAATTGAGGAACTCCGGAGTTATTACGTTGGATTATATCCAAACATCGAAAAACTTGGCAGATCCCTTCACAAAGGGTCTATCACGTAATGTGATAGATAATGCATCAATGAAGATGGGTTTGAGACCCACCGCATGAGTTGTCAATAGTGGTAACCCACTCTATGTGATCGGAGATCCCGTGAAGTAGAAGTGGGAGACAAGCTGTTGGTCAGCTGGGAGGAGAGTATCCCTATATTAATTATCCCACTCTGTGAAGATGCAATACTCTCCTGATCTGCATGGCAGGTTGATACTTATCTTAATGTGTTCCAAGTGGCTTATTCGGGTAAGCAGAGATGTTGTCCTGCAGAACATCTTCTGAGGAATACACCTATATGAATTTGACTGTTAATGTCGCAGTCTGTGAGAATTGGGTGTTCTCTAATAAATTCATGAAAGGCCCTGGAGTATGACGTATACGCTCCACCCGCGGGGAAGCCTTGCGGCAGCCCAGTATCGGTCAAGAATTTGTGTGAAACTAGTTTCACAGAAAACTTGTAGTTCAAGGCATAGTCCACTATTCAAGTTGTGATCTAGTGTAGCATAAATTTCTAAGTGGAAGTTCAACTTCACAGTCTCCACTAAGCACCGATATATAAAATAATGTTTTGGAACTAAATGATGAGATATGCCAATGAGACTTTATGGGGGATTGTTGGAATTTTGCTAGTAGGCCTTTGGCCCAAAGCCCAACTAAAATTCTGAAATTCTCTTGGCCCATTCATGCACAAATGTGAGTGGAGTGAGTGAGGCTAAAGTTTAGTCCCACCTGGAAGTTGAGAGAGAGTTGCACCTCTTTATAAGGTGAGCTCTTCTACCACTTGTATGAGCATGAGAAGAGGAGATCTACACTAGCGCTCCTCCTCCTCGCTCGCCACGCCTCGCCTCGTCACGACGCGCCGCGCCGCGGGTTGCGGGGTTGAGCCGAGGACAGAGTTATGCACGTTGTCTATATTTTTGCTGCATGGGAAAATTAATGAGTCATTAATTAATAATTAACGGACGCGTTAATTACTGAACCGTTTCCGATTCTTTTGGATCGTGACGACTCGGACGTGGGTTTACTCACCCGGCCCACAATAAATAGTCAGGCAGACGTCTACCCTAGCGGCCGCCGCTTCGTATGATTTCTCACCACCGTTCCAGATCATTGCGCCGCCAAGCAAGTCTTCTCCATCCCTCCTTTCGGCGTGCACCGGGAGAAGGGACAGCAGGCCTCCGGAACCCCGCCTCTCGTGATCCTGTACGGGAGAGGGGCGATCAGGTTTTTGGGGAGCGCACTCGCGCGACTGCTGACAGCGACGACTTCGTGAACGACGACTTCTTCCCCGACCTCGGCAACCTCATCCTCGACAACATGGGTGACAACGTCAACGCCGGCGGTGTTGCTCCCGCTGCACCGTATGTGATTCTTACCTTCCTGTTCGAGTTCGTGGTAGAATTCATGTTTCTAGTATGTGCCCTAGATGTGATCTGTTCATCTGCTATGCTAGTTCACATGATTAGTTTAATCTCTGTTGCTGTAGTCATGATTTATCTTCTGTTTATTCGGATTAAATCTCATAGTAATTTGCTCATATTTTCGACAGAAGCATCAAATGTGTACCAATTTTTTTTGAAAGACCAAGTCTATATTTTTGAGAAACTCGAGGGACCAAAAATATATACTTTTCTGAACTCGGAAACCCCCCGCAGCTCATATACTTTATAGAAAGTTTTACCAACCTCTCTCTTCTCAATAAAGGCGATTCAATCCTTGGGAGAAAGCAAAGATATATAGGCTCGAGCATCAGTTGGCGGTTTTATTAGGGGAAGTAATGTCACAGCAACAGCCACATCGATCTCAGCTTGTACAGAACAGAAACTAATCAACATGTCTACTCTGGCGCGCACACACACAGCTTAACCTCGCTCACGAATCCAGCTACTCCATGAACCGACGCCGCCCGCTTCGTTAGCTGCATGCTACCACCAGTTTATTTCACTCAGGCGACCAGCGCCATCTAGCACTTCTTGCCCAGGCGCGGGTTGTTGGCAAAGCTGCACCAAATCAACAATGCAGAGAGATGCATGCATGGTCAGCGCTCACGAGCAGTGGTGGAAGAAATGCACATATATGGCAACAAACAACTTGATTATCGGATGTATACTGAAGGCGGATGCGCTGCATGCTTACTACGTACCTACGACGTGGTATGTGCCGAAACGGTCCGGAGGTCGGAATCGGGCCGCAGAAGTCGTTGTTTGAAAAATCCCTGCAGGTGAAACGTAGGGTGGATGAAACGAAGTGCGCGGAGAACAATTGGAGTGCAAAGAATGCATGAAGCTGAGCTCCACTCACGCATCTTTCAGGTTGGACAGCCCAACCAGTTCCTTCGGGATCGGGCCGCTCAAGCGGTTGCCATAAACTTCCCTGTTGATCAGATGCCAAAAGAGTGGGTCAATACCTTTCCGGAAGCGTGTGTTAACGGTGTCATTGGTAAATTGTCACAGGTAGAAATAAACTGGGTTGGAGAGGCTCACAAATATTGTAGCCGGTCCAGTTGGCCAAGCTCCGGTGCCAGAGGTCCGGACAGGTTTTGGCGGCCAAGGTCTCTGTTAAAACAAACAAATATCATTACTACTCCAGTTAAAATTAGATGCGTCCAGAAATACAAAAAGGACAGTGTTCCAAGCAGTCACTCCACATGTTCCCTCAAAAAAAGCAGCCACTCAACATGAGGAGGCCTTGATTGGGCCAGGTTCATACTCTTCAGGCCCATGAGTTTACGACTAGGCCTATTAAAAACTTCATCTAAAAAAAAAATCATCTATACCAATATAAAAAGACCCAAAAAGGCAGATCCAACTGATCTCGGCCATCGAACTAAGTCAATCCAACGACCTAGACTGCTCCAATAGCGAGCGTTAAACGTGTTTAACATGCAATTAATATCATACCAAATATTGCACTAATTACAAAATTAACACACAAATAATAGCATACCTAATATCCGCGTGTAATTAATATATTACCTAAATATTAACGTGCGTTGCGCGTGCGCACTTACTAGTATCTACAAGTTTTCTAATTTTTTAGATTGTGGTAGACATGTATGGTTGGGACAGCCTCGTGACCACGTTTGTATCCCCAGTTTTGTGAACTATGAATAGTAAAGCTTGGTGGTTCTAAAAAAAAAAAAAAAAACTAGGTACTCTATATTTAGAGCAAAAGGTCGTCACACTTGGCTGGGTCATCCCACGACCTGAACATTATTCCTGTAATCTTGCCGATTGAGTAATAAAGCACGGCTGTTTTGCCCTAAAAAAATCTTGAAAAAAAAACTACATCCGTCCAACTATTTTCAAATTCTTCTTCGTTTTTTGTGGTTCTTCTAAAACTAAATAAATTCAAACGACCAAGCAATACGTTTCTTATGTTTTACTCCATGGATTTGCTCCTCTCCAAAAATAAAAGAGGAAAAGGGCATCTGCTCCACTCCAAGTGAGTACCAAAAACCCTCTAAAAAATGAGTAGCAAAAACTGTGCATCAATCCAAAAAATTAATTAAATAAAATTGTGTAAACCAAACATGGCACATTAGATCAGCAGATCGAGTCCATCTTTTTTCTAAAAGAAAACCAAGACAATCATAATCCATTTTTACTCATCCAGTTCCACACCGGCAACGCCAATAGTTTGAACAAGGGTGGTGGATGGATACAAAGCACTTCCACCATTACAAAATAATTGGATTATAGGATCTTTCTAAGTCAAATTGACAAATTTTGTCTAGTCCTATAGAAAAATCCACACAAATTTATTATATCAAATATATATAATATGAAAATATATTTCATCATGAATCTAATGAAACAAATTTTCTTTTATAGGTGACGATATGTTTTTATATAGACTTGGCCAAACTTAATGAAGTTTGACTTAGGACAATCCTAGAACACCAATTATTTTGAAACACGGGGAGTACCAGAGGCACACACATGGACAAAATCGAAATCTTGCATAAAGGAATGGAGGTATCCAAGTCTACTCACATGCAGGTGACGCGTTTGTGGTCGTCGCAGGTGATGTGAAACCAGGTACAAGGGTCCACCAACTGCGGGTCCCAGGTCTTCAACGCGCCATTTGGGTCCTTCAAGCCGCTCTTCAGGGCTGAGAGCGCGTCAATGTCATTGGCCGCCACTGGCGCCAGCAGAAGGGTCGACACGACGGCCGCAAGGACGATGACTGATAGGGCCAGTAGTGATCCGCCCGCCATGGGCACCATAGGGGTCAGGCAGGGCTAGTGGTGTCGTGATGTGAGGGAAGTGGGCGAGTACGACGGGAGATTCTGTGTGGTGTTTCGCTTCGATGGATGGGAGTCAGTTGGTGTGAGGGGTCTTAAAAGAGGAGATGTAGAGAGTAGGGATGATGGTGTGCCTTGTAACAGTGTGCCACCTTTGGTTACTAATGCTAAAGATATGATGCATGCATCGGAAGAGTTATATCTATACGCTCGTCTAATGCGCATTGGTAGAGTTATATGTCGACGCTCATTTTAATGTCAAAGATATAATCTTATGATAAATGCATGCATTGATAGAGTTAGACCTATACACTCATTTTATGCTAAAGATATCATCTTAAGGACGTAAGGTATGATGTGTTGTGACTGTAATAAAAGAAATATCACCAAATAATTTTTTTCATTTACTCACAACCAGTTTTTAAACAGTAAAAATATTGCCCTCATTGATATTTTTATGCCACTGTATCTATATCAAACATGTTTCATGCTGGCAACTGTGGGTTAAAGCTATATGCGATATTGCCGTGCACAGTAGGTAACATTTTCTCTTCCATATTTTCGAGCCTACAATTCCGACAATGCCCCGTCTTCCCCGAGGCATTCATATAACTCATGACATATAACACTTCTCTGGGTTGCCTGTTAGAATGTGTGGGTTATCCATAGTTGGTCAAGTTCCAATATTGGCTGGTCCTTCGTGAGGTGTTTCTATAAGTTTATACAGTATATCATAGTTGGATGTTCGGTAGCTGGTAGTTTCAATATTGCAGGGTCCTTCGTGAGGTGTTTCTATAATTTTATACATTGTATCATAAATTGGCCAGGTTTTGTGACGGAAATTGTGGACTAAAGTTATATGGCATGTCGCTACGCATAGTTGGTCACCTTTTTTGTCGACGGTATGGACCTATGACTGGTCTCCCTGAGTTGTTCATGCAATGACTCTATATATGGTGTCGATGTGACGGGTTTCCTCATGTTGGAAATTACACGGCTAAATCTATATGCAAATTATCATCTTGGAGAATAGGTTGGCTACCTTTTATCTTAATGGTTCAATCATCATGAACGCAAAGTGCACGTATTTGAACATGTTCTAACAACAACTCTAGCACAGTCACCGCCGGACCATCATCATAACTAGCCCTACTATGTTCACGGCCAAAAAAAGGGTCTAGCAGAATCGTCATACACTTACCCAGCCTTGGCAAGGCTGCTCCAAATAATGGGACGTTATTGGAATTTGCTAGTAGGCTTTTGGTTCAAAGCCCAACTAAAATATAAAATTCTCTTGGCTCATTCATGCATGGTTGCATGTGTTGTGAGAGACTAATCTTTAGTCCCATACTGCTAGGTGAGTGGTGAAGGAAGTATGCCCTAGAGGCAATAATAAAGTTGTTATTTATATTTCCTTATATCATGATAAATATTTATTATTCATACTAGAATTGTATTAACCAGAAACTTAGTACATGTGTGAATACATAGACAAACAAAGTGTCACTAGTTTGCCTCTACTTGACTACCTCGTTGAATCAATGATGGTTATGTTTCCTGACCATAGACATGAGTTGTCATTTGATTAATGGGATCACATCATTAGAGAATGATGTGATTGACTTGACTCATCCGTTAGTTTAGCACGATGATCATTTAGTTTGTTTCTATTGCTTTCTTCATAACTTATACATGTTCCTATGACTATGAGATCATGCAACTCCCGAATACCGGAGGAACGCTTTGTGTGCTACCAAACCTCACAATGTAACTGGGTGATTATAAAGGTGCTCTACAGGTGTCTTCGATGGTGTTTGTTGAGTTGGCATAGATCGAGATTAGGATTTGTCACTCCGATTGTCGAAGAGGTATCTCTGGGCCCTCTCGGCAATGCACATCAATATAAGCCTTGCAAGCAATGTAGCTAATGAGTTAGTTACAGGATGTTGCATTACGAAACGAGTAAAGAGACTTGCCAGTAACGAGATTGAACTAGGTATTGAGATACCGACGATCGAATCTCGGGCAAGTAACAAACGATGACAAAGGGAACAACATATATCGTTATGCGGTTTGACCAATAAAGATCTTCGTAGAATATGTTGGAACCAATATGAGCATCCAGGTTCCACTATTGATTATTGACCGGAGACATGTCTCGGTCATGTCTACATAGTTCTCGAACCCGTAGGGTCCGCACGCATAACGTTCGGTGACGATCGACATTACGAGTTTATGTGTTTTGATGTACCGAAGATAGTTCGGAGTCCCGGATGTGATCACGAACATGATGAGGAGTCTCAAAATGGTCGAGACATAAAGATTGATATATTGGACGACTATATTCGGACACCGGATGAGTTCCGGGGTCACCGGATATTTATCGGAGTGCCGGAGAGGTTATCGGAACCCCGGGGGAAACTAATGGGCCAACATGGGCCTTGTGGGAGAGAGAGGAGAGGGCCTAGGGCTGGCCACCCCCCCTTGGGAGTCTGAATTGGACAAGAAGGGGGGGCACCCCTCTTTCCTCCCTCTCCTTCCTTCCCCCTTCCCCCTTCCTAGTTGGAATAGAAAAAGGGGAGTCCTACTCCTACTAGGAGGAGGACTCCCGCTCTCCTTGGCGCACCCCAAGACCGGCCGGCCTCCCCCCTTGCTCCTTTATATACGGGGGCAGGGGGCACCCTAGAACACACAAGTTGATTGTTTCCAGCCGTGTGCGGTGCCCCCCTCCATCATAATCCACCTCGGTCATATCGTAGCGGTGCTTAGGCGAAGCACTGTTCCGGTAGCATCATCATCACCGTCATCACGCCGTCGTGCTGATGAAGCTCTCCCTTGAAGCTCTATTGGATCATGAGTTCGTGCGACGTCACCGAGCCGAACGTGTGCAGATCGCGGAGGTGTCGTACCTTCAGTGCTAGGATCGGTCGATCGTGAAGACGTACGACTATATCAACCGTGTTGTCATAACGCTTCCTCATATGGTCTACGAGGGTGCTTAGACAACAATCTTCCCTCTCGTTGCTATGCATCACCATGATCTTGCGTGTGCATATGAATTTTTTTGAAATTACTGCATTCCCCAACAGTGGCATCCGAGCCAGGTTTATGCGTAGATGTTATATGCACAAGTAGAACACAAAGGAGTTGTGAGCGTGGGTATATACATATTGCTTGCCGTCACTAGTTGATTCTTTATTCAGCAGTATTGTTGGATGAAGCAGCCCAGACCGACATTACGCGTACGCTTACGTGAGACTGGTTCTACCAACGTGCTTCGCACACAGGTGGCTGGTGGGTGTTAGTTTCTCCAATTTTAGTTGAATCAGATTTAATGAACATGGTTCTTTCTGAAGATCAAAAAGCAATCACTATACGGTGTTGTGATTTTTGATGCGTAGGTAAGAACGGTTCTTGCTCAGCCCGTAGCAGCCACGTAAAACTTGCAACAACAAAGTAGAGGACGTCTAACTTGTTTTTGCAGGGCATGTTGTGATGTGATATGGTCAAGACATCATGCTAAATTTTATTGTATGAGATGATCATGTTTTGTAACAAAGTTATCGGCAACTGGCAGGAGCCATATGGTTGTCGCTTTATTGTATGAAATGCAATCGTCATGTAATTGCTTTACTTTATCACTAAGCGGTAGCGATAGTCGTAGAAGCAATAGTTGGCGAGACGACAACGGTGCTTCGATGGAGATCAAGGTGTCAAGCCGGTGACGATGGTGATCATGACGGTGCTTTAGAGATGGAGATCAAAGACAGAAGATGATGATGGCCATATCATTTCACTTATATTGATTGCATGTGATGTTTATCCTTTATGTATCTTATTTTTGTTAGTTCGGCGGTAGCATTATAAGATGATCTCTCACTAAATTTCAAGGTATAAGTGTTCTCCCTGAGTATGCACCGTTGCTACAGTTCATCGTGCCGAGACACCACGTGATGATCGGGTGTGATAAGCTCTATGTTCAGATACAACGGGTGCAAGCCAGTTTTGCACACACAAAATACTCGGGTTAAACTTGACGAGCCTAGCATATGCAGATATGGCCTCGGAACACTAAGACCGAAAGGTCGAGCGTGAATCATATAGTAGATATGATCAACATAGTGATGTTCACCTTTGAAAACTACTCCATCTCATGTGATGATCGGACATGGTTTAGTTGATATGGATCACGTGATCACTTAGATGATTAGAGATATGTCTATCTAAGTGTGAGTTCTCAAGTAATTTGATTAATTAAACTTTAATTTATCATGAACTTAGTACCTGATAGTATTTTTCATGTCTATGTTGTTGTAGATAGATGGCTCGTGCTGTTATTCCGTTGAATTTTAATGCGTTCCTAGAGAAAGCTAAGTTGAAAGATGATGGTAGCAACTACACGGACTGGGTCCGTAACTTGAGGATTATCCTCATTGCTGCACAGAAGAATTACGTCCTGAAAGCACCGCTAGGTGACAAACCCGCTGCAGGAGCAACGCCAGATGTTGTGAACACCTGGTAGAGCAAAGCTGATGACTACTCGATAGTTCAGTGTGCCATGCTTTACGGCTTAGAACCGGGACTTCAACGACGTTTTGAACGTCATGGAGCATATGAGATGTTCCAGGAGTTGAAGTTAATATTTCAAGCAAATGCCCGGATCGAGAGATATGAAGTCTCCAATAAGTTCTACAGCTGCAAGATGGAGGAGAATAGTTCTGTCAGTGAACATATACTCAGAATGTCTGGGTACCACAACCACTTGGCTCAACTGGGAGTTAATCTTCCTGATGATAGTATCATTGACAGAGTTCTTCAATCATTGCCACCAAGCTACAAGAGCTTCGTGATGAACTATAATATGCAAGGGATTGATAAGACGATTCCTGAGCTCTTCGCAATGCTAAAGGCTGCGGAGGTAGAAATCAAGAAGGACCATCAAGTGTTGATGGTCAACAAGACCATCAGTTTCAAGAAAAAGG